AATGATGACTTTGGTAAGGAATGGGGGTTGACAGATAACTAAAACTTGGGGGCTGGACAAACAAGCTCAAAGCCAAGTGGTTGGTCCAGTTGGGGGACTAATAAAGTTCAGACAAACGAACTACCGCATTCAATAACACATAAAATAGAACAGGTAGCTCGGTGAAAAGCTTCCCTTAACTGGGCTCGTGAAATAGGGATCCTGTACGTAAAGAATTTCAATCTCCATCGGGAAAGAAGAAAGAGTCGCCTTCCAATTCCTGGAAGTTCAGTCAAAATAATGACTCTAGTAAGGAACGGGGGGTTGACAGATAACTAAACTTGGGGGGGCTGGACAAACAAGCTCAAAGCCAAGTGGTTGGTCCAATTGGGGAACTAAATAAAGTTCATACAAACGAACAACCACCTTGAACAACACATAAAACAGAATAGGTAACTCGGTGAAAAGCTTCTCTTAACTGGGGCTCGTGAAATAGGGATCCTATATGTAAAGAATTTCAATCTCCATCGGGAAAGAAGAAAGAGTCAGCTTCCAATTCCTGGAAGTCCAGTCAAAATGATGACTCTAGTAAGGAATTTAAAACCCAATTGATTTTACTTAATTTGCTTGTCAAAATCACTATTTACAATTATTTATACACAAACAGATTTACCTCACCACCAATTTGATATATGTGGGATTCTCAATTCAGAAAGTCACATGGCAACAGTGAATTCACTGATTTACCTTACAAGGAGCATGCCCTTATTTTGTCAGTATATGCAGACGGATTGTCAAGTCATGTGACCTAGTGCACAGACTTTGGTTTTCTCAAATTTTTGCTCGATTTTTTTATTACAATGACAACTCATTTCTTATTAATATATGTGCGATTCTCAATTCAGAAAGTCACATGGCAACAGTGAATTCACTGATTTACCTTACAGTGAGCATGCCTTACTTTGTCGGTATATGCAGATGGATTGTCAAGTCACGTGACTTGGTACACAATATTTCCTTTTCTCTGTTTTTTCATTCTACTGACAACTCATACCTTGTTCGTATATGTGGGATTGTCATGCAGGGCCATCTTTCTAAAGCTGTTCATAACCAACTATATAAACGACTAAAGGTGAAGACACAACCTTACAACTCATTTCGCCCTACGAAATTATCATTCATTTGTTTTAAAAAATTAGCATGGCTACATGGTTCATGGGAGGGAGTGGGAATCGCAGAGGTGGTAGGAACTTGCAAAGGGGTGACAGTTCACGACGAGGAGGGGGAAGGGGAAGGGGAAGGGGAAGTGGCGATGCTGAAGATGAAACACTATTTCCTTTGTTAGATGCCTCTTGTGCTTATCATGATAGGTTTGGGAAGCGACATTTTGGCATGCCCAAGTACTATCGAGATCCATGTGGTTTGGTGGAGCAACCATCAGATAATCAAACAGGATATGGTTTAGCAAACGCTAGACTTCTGAAGTGGCCCGCACTATTTATAGAGCAAGTCCAAATGGAAAGATTATGTCGGGAAAATCGATTGAAGGTGCCAAAAGAACGTTCTGTTGAAATCCAAAAGGAAGATCCTGATAATGTTGATCGACTATGTGAAAGACTACAACATGAGATTTCTCAAATGGGCCGTAGGTTAGCCCCCAATATGCAGCTATACATAGTTAAGAAGGATGCCCATAAGAA